GGGAGCCTCTGGTCCGGCCTTCTCCCAGCTAGCTGTGCCCGGGGGTGGACTGGGCAGAGCAGCATCTTCAGCTCCGCCCACCCCACACAGACCCTTCAGCGGGAGGCCCGGATCTGCAGGCCCTTCCAGGTGCTGGTGTTTCAAGGGGGAGAAGGGGTTCTCCAGGCCCTGACAAGGCCCTTGGGAAGGGAGCACCAGCAATGACAGCCCTCGGGAAAGACAAGCCCCACCACCCACAAGGGCACCGAACACGTTTGCTTCCTCACTTCAGAAAGGTGGGTCCCAAATCCCAAGGCCACCTGATGCCAGGCCTGGTCAGGCCTCTGTGGCAGCTCAGGGGACCAACTCCCCTCCCAGAGCCAACTCTGACTAGTGGCCCTGGCCTTGCTAACCCTGTTCTGGACTTCAAGACTGGTGGGCCTCGCGGGTCTTCCCCATGGACTGAGAACTGACCTGAAAACACAAGTCCTTTTCCTTGGACCTCTGGGAAGGGAGTAGGTGATCCCACGGGCTCTCGGGGACCATAAGACCAAGGGGTACCTGCTAGCAACATCACCAAGATGCGGTGTTCCTAAACCCCCAGTCAGGGGGCTCCAGCGCTATCCTACAAAGAAGTCTGGCCGCCACCCAGCACCTGGCAAGGCTGCCAGCTCATGCTGCACCTGCGAGCATCCAGAGCTGGAGTTTCCCCCGTTTGGGGGAAGGGCACTTTGTGATCCCCTGGTGTTCCCTCGGTCTGGGCCTGAGCTGCGGTGGCTGTCCTCCCGCACCCGCAGAAATCCCACAACGGTTACGACTGTTCTATTCTCTTCCTGCGGCTGCACCACCATTTGGAATCTTAGCTTGCTCCTCCCTCACCCTGTCAGGCTGGAGCTCCTCCTCTGCAAGGGGCAGGTAGGGGAAGGGGGCAGGGGCTCCTGCTCTGCCCGAAGGGCCACTCCCCCACCCCCCAAGATAAGTTTAGAGTCATGCAGGAAGGACAGCACTTCAGACCCCAAGCAGGAAAGGCACCAGAGTCCTGCCTGTGGCGTCCGGGAGCGGGGGTGGGAGGCTGGAGGGGCCGGGCACTCCTCACACACTGCACACAGCCCCCCAGCAGTGGGGATGGGGTCCCCACCGGCACCCCCTGTGGGACTGGCGGGGGGTGGGTGTCAGGAACAGGACACCCCTAGGGCAGTGATCCAGGTGCTCTCCAGGCAGGGGACAGCTGGACTGGAGGGCCCAGTGGGCTAGCCCGGAAGGAGTCCGCGCAGCCCCAGCAAAGGCTCCTCTCAGATTAGAGAGGTATGTGGGTTGGAACCTAAACACAGGATGTGAAGTCCAGAGGAAGGGGACCAGAGGGGGAGGGGCGGAAGGGAGAGACAGGGCCAGGCCCGGTCAGCTCCAGCGCCATTAACCCCTTCAGGGCCTGCAGAGGAACAGGGCCGACTGGAAGCATCTGTGCTACCAAACCACACCCAAGCCTGCAGTACCCTCTCCTCCCTGCGCCCCCTGCCTCCATTGACAGGATCTGAGCAAGCTTGGAGGGTAATGAAGCAGACGCAGAGAACCAACCTCCCTCCCTCCGTGGGAGAGGGTTGGCCAAGGGTCAAGAGATGGGCACCCATGGGACAACATCGAAGCCCACCAGCCTGAGGGCAGAAAGAGGGGACTTTGGGGACTCGTTACTCTTGGTGAGGGACTTCACATCTAGGCCCTTCCGTGGCCAAGGTCACACAGCTCTCGCATTGGTGTGCACGGATGTGAAAGGAGCTGGCGGAAGGGACAGGATGGAAAGAAAATGTCTCCTCCCTACTTGTAAGAAAAAAAAGCCACCTCCTTGGTGGGGAAAAGGTGCCAAAGAGGAAAGAGAGCAGAGGACACCCTCAGGAGCTGGGCAGCTAACTTCCAGCAGGGGGAGCTCAGGGAAACCACGTCCTTGCCCTGCCTCTCCCATCTGAGAGCAGGAAGACCACCTGAAGTGGTTGCCAGAAATATCTGCTCCCAGAGACCTCCCACCTGCCCAGGGATCAGACCCACCAAAGTCTGAGAAGCACCAATTTGGATGGTGCCTGCAAAGCACGTCCACTTCTGTGTCCCCATGGGAGACATAGCTGTGAGGGGCCTCTGGCCATCTGACAGAGCCCTGAGCTGCAGGGCCTTGACTCATCAGTCACAGGGCAGAGCTGGGCCTCCGCCTAGTGATTCTTTGACTGCCTATCCCACAGACAGAGACTCGGAGGCCTGCAGTGTCAGAGGGGCTGGCCCAAGATTCGGAGCCAAGCAGCAGAGGGGGTGGGGTCAGCAGTCCCAGGACCAGCCCTTCTCACCTCGGCCTTGTACATACGGATCAGACCCTGGTTCACTTTGGACCAGGAGGGCACAGCGCTGATGTTCCACAGCTGGTTGGAGTGCTCTGCAAAGGGGCCTGTCTTCATCTGGAAAAGACAATCCACAGCTGGAGAGGCAGGCTACCTGGGAGCTCATCCCCCGGATCCCCATAGCAAGGTCACGCATATGTGCGTAAACACAAGTGCGCACGCGCACACACGCACAAGCACATACAAACATGCACACACGCTAAAGCACATATGTGCATGCATATGTACGCACAGACACGCACACGCATGCATGTATGCTTGAGGACTTGGCTGCATCATCTGGGGGAGAGGGTACACACACACACACACGCACGCACACACGCAAGCACACGCATAAGTACCAGAGACGGTCTCTCTTGGTCTGCAAGACCCACTGGGAAAATATAACCTCCAGAGCCACCCTCTTTCTTCCACAGCCAAAAAAAGGGGGCCGATTCCCACCACCACCACATTCAGCAGCCTCAGAAAAAGAAAATCTCAATCCAAGCCCTGGCTGGGACTCCCAGCAATTCCCACCCTCAGCCACCGAGCGCTGCACCAGCACAAGGACCTGCTTCCACTCAGATAAACAGCAGCAGCAGGCTCCCAGCCCTCCCCGGCCCCACACACAGGGTGGGCTCTACCGCCAGGGACTCGGGCTGAACCTGCCACAGGCAGAGCCAGAGCCAGAGCCAGAAGAGCGGGTTTGGGGGAAGGGCAAGGTGGGGAAGACTAAACCCAGGAATCCAATTGCCCTCTGCGTGGCAGGCAAAAGGGAGGGAGGAAAAGAGGGGGCAGATGTGAACTGTGAGCCAGGGGCACCTGCAGCAGATTCGGGAGGAAGGTCTGTTTAGAAAGCCTGACCCACTAGGCCAGGAGGTAAGGAAGGGATGGCATTCACAGCAGCAAGGGACAGGCCGTAGCAAGGAAAGCTCCATTCCTGTCCCTCCTCTTGCCGAGAGTTTGACACTCCGGGAAGGAAAGAGACCCTGCAGCAAGCCCAGTGAAGTTCCCATGACATGAGAAACCACGGCACTGAGACAGGGAGGCTTGTGCGCCTGCGTGCACCCCTCCGCACAAGGCCAGCACATCTGTGGCTAGCACGCATTTCAACCCCCCTCAACACTGCCCCCCCAAGCTTATAAACAGTACTGATGCTGGCTGGGAGAATGGGGTTCAGCACCCTGGGCCCCAGGCTTCAAAAGAAAGAGTCTGAAAGGCAAAGAGGCTAAGCTGGCAAAGAAGCAGAGACTTGGACCCTGAGTGGGTAGAAGGTTCCAGAAGAGGCTGTGAGAGGAGGCGGGGAGAGGGAGAGCTGTTCCAGGGAGAAAGGACGGGTCTAAAGCTCCCTCTCCATATTGGGCATAAGAATAGGGGCCCAGGAACTCATAACACCCCATCGTTTGGCTGTGGACTCCCTGGGTGTCCCACTCCCACATGCCTCTCATTTCTCCAATAAGGGCCTTGTACCAAACTGCAAGATTTAAGTCCAAAAAGCTGCCATTTACTACTGTCACCTCCTTCCCCTGGCTAAAGTTCCCCAAAAGCCTGTCTCAACCCCCACGTTCAGTAGCAAGGACAACAGACTCCTTCCTCCAGCAGTGAGGCCACAGCCTGAGGTGGCAGATGGAGACAGGACCCACCCTGGTGGCCGCAGGGCTTTTCCCGGGTTAGTGCCTACACCCACAGTCTTTCCCCAACTCTCTATTTCTAAGGCTCCCTCCTCCAGGATGGCTGCTGGTACCCAAAGCCTATGGGGCCTGGCCTTCAAGGAGTTTTGTTCCATCCATCCTACTCAAGCAGGCTCCACCCCCAACTACTGGCCCTCCCTCTCGCCCCACCCCTTCCCCAAAGCTCTCTGCCCCTTAGGGACCAGCGCCAGGCTCCAGTCCTCTCCTGCACACTTCCAGGCCCAGAGAAGTTCAGGGATCACTGGAGATGTGTAATCAGTTTCACTCTGGACAAGGCCCGATGAACAAACCATCCCAGAGGCACCCTGCTGGCTTGGTCCCACAGCATAGCTCCAGAAGCCTGCTCAGCAAGGGCCCCGAGGCCAGAGGCAGGAGATGATGCTGGGAAACCAGAGGCTCTGCCTCGTGGGCCAGCCTCACCCACTAGGGGCACGGGAGGGGACCCCAAAAGGCCTCTCTGGCCTGCCGGCAGAGCCCCAGTGGCCCTGCCCCTCCCCACGGAAAGGCCAGAGATGCTCTTTCTCTAGAGGAGCTGCCCCCCCCCGACTCCACCCCGCCCCCAGGCCTTCAGTGTCCCCAGGTCTCCCTAAGTCCTTCAGAAGGAGACTTTGCAACTCTGGGAAAGGAAAACACGAGGGGGGAAAAAGGAATCGGGAGCGAGAAGACCAAAAAAAAAAAAAAAAAAATTAGCTCATTCTAGCCACAAAGGGAGAAGAGAAAGAGCGAGAACGAGCAAGCAAGCTGCAGTCCCGCAGTGACCCCAGGGGAATCGTGTGAGTCAGAGCAGCCATATTGAGCAGGAAATTACTCACAGACGCTGCGTTCCTGCCTCTCCACTCCCAGGAGAATCGGCCTTTTGTAAATGGTTCCTCTGTCAGTAACTGAGGGGGGATGGGGGGAGGCTCTGCACAGCGCCTTCCTGTCAGCTCCTTCCCTTCCAGCTGAAATCTGATCCCTCCCTTCCCAAAACTCCAAATTTAGAAGCCAGATTGAAACTGAAATTCTTTTCCTGCCTGCCCTGGGCTCTTAAAGGCGCCAGGGCTGCATTTCCTGAGACAGCAGAAGCCCTGCAAGGTGGGGTCTCTCATCCAGGATGCCCAGGGCTACCAGGGCAGGTCCTGGGAGACGGGGAGGAGATACCCGGTTCCATTTCCAACTTCTTGTTGTTTTGTTTTTTCTCCTAGTTGCACCAGCCATCCTGAACCCCAGGTCTCCAGAGGCAACACCGCCCCCTTCCAGCCCGAAGCCCACGGAACTCTGCACAGGCCTCCAGATCCCCTGTGTCCCAGTGGCAGGCCTTCAGCCTCCCTTGGTCAGGGTGAGCCAGGTCAGGTCACTCATTACGAACTACGGGCGGCACGGGCGGCGAAACACTGTTGCGGAGTGGAAGGGGGCTGGGGTGGGCGTAGCCAGCACCCGCAGTGCCAGTTAGGTCTCAGCTTGGCCAGGTGGATGAAAGGGAGCCCTCAGCCCTGCTGGCATTCAGTGTTTACACCATGCCCAAGCACCTAGACCCAAAGTGAAAACCAAGCCTTGCAGATAGGGTGCAGAACAAGCAAAAACTCTAGGGTCTGCCTTTCCCCCAATTAAGTTACTAAAAAACCTTCTCAAAATTCAATGTGCCCTTAGCGCCACCTAGTGGCCACTGCAGGATTTCCTCCAGCAGAGGAACTGGGTCCCAAACTTTAAAAAGCTTTTGGGTTTTTAGACCAGCATAACCAACCAAACAAATAAAAATACAAAATTTTAACCTGGATTCAATTCCCATCTTCCCCGAGGCCCAGCCCTGGCCTTCTTCCTTGTTAGTCACTGACAGGGACCCAGGGGCTTGGCCAGCCACCAGAGGGGGCCAGAACAGCCAAGCCTTTTAACCCCCACGTGAGCAAAGCAATGGCTCAGCCTAGAATGTGTACCCCTTCTCCCCACCCTGCTCCTCCCGCTCCTCCCAGGGTCTCCCAGGGCTCCCCAGATCCTCGCATTCCATTCTGGAAAGAGCAGCACATGACTGGCTCTTGAGGCAGTGAGCCAGGCTGCCCCAAGTCCTTCTGACCTTGGGCCTGCTACACTGCTGAAGGCAGCAAATCCGAGACTGAAGCAGTGGCCGCCCAGCCGTCAGTCCCGGCTCCATTTGCTGACTTGGAAAAACGTGTCATTCCCCTCTGGCCTCTGGAGTTTGGCAGAGGTCTGAGCCGAATGCTGACCATGAGGAGCCTGGGGCAATGGCTGCTTAACCAGGCTTCTCTGTTCAGGGGCCTCAGAACCGGGGCCAAGAGAGCAGCCCCGGTGGGGAGGGGACCACGGCCGAGGCAGGAGCATCACTGGGCCCAGACGTGAATGTGGGCATTGGAAAGAGAATGGTGGCAAGACCCTCTCCAGATGGCAGAACAGGGTACCCTTTGAAAGTTTGGGGGAAGGGGGAGAGGTATGCAGCAGGGAGGATGAAAGGTCCTGAGAGAGAGGCCCTTGAGCAGTGAGTCCCCCAATTCCGTGCAAAGTCACCTGGCAAGTGTATTTAATACAGGTTCCTGGCTCTTGTCCCCCAGGATTCTTGATTCAGAAAGCTGGCGTTGGGCACAGGAACGTGGATTTTAACAAGCTCCCTGGGTGACCTTGAGGAAGTGGGAGACCCAGCCTTAGTGGGCAACAGCACCCAGTTCATAAACATCCCCTGCCAGGTGGGCTGGGGGCCCAGGCCTGCTTGGTTCACCTCCAGCACTTCAGCTGGCCCATGTCCTCAGGCACTGACAGAGATGTGTCCCCTCAGCAGAAATCTATCCCTGCTGTCCGCGTTAGTCTCTCCGCCTCCTGCAATGGTTGCATCCCACACAGCCACATGCATGTGCTGAACAGGCCTCATGGGCCCCACGCACCCCCTCAGACCTGCTGCATCGGTCACCAAGTGCACTAGTGACGGAGTCTCAGTCCCTCAGCTCGAGGCCCACGGAGTCAAGAGTCACCCCAGACCACTGATTTGGGGGAGGAGATCCTGGACAGTCAGAAGGTGGCTTAGCCTTTCATAGGCCTGGTGGGCCTTCCTTGTCAATAACCCACCTTCGAGGGCCAGCCCTGCTGTCTTCAGGCAAGAGTGCTGGCTCTTCTGTCCCACTCCAAAGCCACCAGCCCCAGTTCATCTCGGCCTGGAGGCCACCTGGGCTTCTCCCTCACCTCAGTGATAAACAGGATACATTCCAGGAACATGTAGTCCTTGTGGTTCTCATTCACAGCCTTCTCATCGACAAAGTGCCTGGGCTCCAAATACGGGTGGTCTGGGAACAGCAAAGAGCCCCAGGGTTCAGAACCAGACATCCACACCCACCGAGCACGTCAGCCCAGGGCAGTCTACACCCACCCTGGGGCCACAGTCCCACCCACATGCCCTCAACACTTGACCTTGCGGGAGCAATAAATGACCAGGGTGTGTATGTGCGCACGCACAGTTGCGCATGTATGTGTTCTAGTGGAACGAGCGGTGGCTTTGCCTTTTTCTAGCCGTGTGACCTTGAACCAGTGACTTCAGCCCTCTGAGGCTCGGTTTCCTCATCTGTACAGTGGGGCTATGAAGAGCACCTCCCTTATACTGCCTGATGGTTGGGACCACAGGAAAACCCCAGGCACAGCACCCGCACAGGTTAAGCATTCGTCAATGGTGGCTAGTCTCATGCAGGCAAAGACCCTTCCCAGGGTCACTGAGAAGGTTCTGGGAGATAATCTACCTAAAACGCTTAGAGCAGTGCCTGGCACAGACCAAATACGCAAATGCTTATGAATATTATTTTGTAGGCAGTTAATCCTACCCTGAAGCACAAGTCACCACCCGACCCTCACCCACCGGAGATCCCAGGGAGCCGCCCCAGCCTGGAAAGCAGTGGTCAAGCGAGGGGAGCCAGCAGAGAGGGCCCACAGGAAGCGGCTCACTGCCCCGCGCTGGGTGGCTGCTCCCTGATGGGCCCCCTTGCACACAGCTCGATAATAACGGCAGATGATGCCGGTCACCAAGTCAAAAGAGCCCCTCATTTTCAACATAAAACCCCGCAGTTGCTGCCAGGAGCTGGGGCGCATTTCACACCAGTCCATTATGCGCCAGGAGAGCGCCCCTGCTCCAGCCCGTGTCACTTCCTATTATCTCGGCACACTCTGCCTCCGCCTCCCCCGGCCTGCCTGCCGGGCTGGCTCGCAGCACAAGGTCGACAGCAAACAGCCTCCGTCAATAGCCGGTCTAATGCCTGCTTTATAAGCTGTCACTGTCTGCCCTGAGCAGCAGAAGTGAGGCGGGAAAGGAGGAGGGCGGACAGAGCACACACCCCGGGGCGGCGGGGGGGGGGGGGGGGGGGGAGCGGAGGGGTAGGCGCCCCTTTAGTACCTATCAGCTGCGAGCTGCCCCAGATGAAGGGCAGAAACTGAAAGTCGTCCAGGCCCCACACTCCCTGGCTGCCGGCTGGCTCCATTCTGTATGTCTTCTGGAGTTTACGCATAACCTCCAGGTACCTGCACAGGAGGGAGGGGAAGAAAGAGGCAGCAGAAAGCAGACAGACAGTCTCAACCCTTCTGCCACTGGGAGCTCACGGAGGCCAGAAATAACTACCTAAGAGTGTAACTAGTCTCTATTTTCAATGAAAACCTACATGCGTAAGTTATGCATCAGCTGGTACTCTCAAAATAATGTCGCTTTATTTTTTTCTCCCACGCTCAGCCTTCTTTTGGGCCAGGAAAGGGGGGTTTAGCGCCATCAACTCCTGACAATGTGAGACCCTGGGCAGGAGCCCCAGGCTCTCTAACTCTGGCCTGCCCATCGGAAAGCTGGTGGGGGACAGAGCAGATCATCTCCTGGGGCCTTCCGGCTCCCACCTTCCCTGTTCTCAGGGGCTGCGTCAGCATCACCAGAGTGGGGCCTGGAAAGAGAACGGGTGCTGTCAGAAGCCTCTGGTGGCTGCACCACACCTGTACGGGGGGGGGGGGGGCAGCTGGTTCGGGGGTGGGGTGGGGTGGGGAGCGGGTCAGAGCCCAACTGCAGGGGTTCAGCTGGCTGTGTGAATTCAGGGATCAGAAGACAGCTGATTTCTCTGGGCCTCCGTTTCTTCACCTATAAAATGGAAATGACTGGGGCGCCTGGGTGGCTCAGTCGTTAAGCATCTGCCTTCAGCTCAGGTCATGATCCCAGGGTCCTGGGATTGAGCCCCACATCGGGCTCCCTGCTCGGCGGGGAGCCTGCTTCTCCCTCTCCCTCTTCCCCTGCTTGTGTTCCCTCTCTCGCTGTGTCTCTCTCTGTCAAATAAATAAATGAAATATTAAAAAAAAAAATGGAAATCACGGTCACTGCTGCCTAGAGCTGTTGGGGGAATCTAGGGAGGGAGCTGCGCGTGGAGAGCTCAGGACGAGGCCTGACACGGCAAACACACGGAAGCATTAGCGGTCGGCACGTGACTTTCCTTCACTTGTCCTTACTTGGATCTGAACCTGTCAGAAGGCTTCTGGGACGCCCCGTCCACAGCCAGAGCTCGATCAGGACAGGCCAGAAGAAGCAACAGCCAGTCAGGAGCGCCCACCAGCATCCCGCCCCAGTCTGACAAGGAGAGGAGAACCCTGCTGCTCTTCTTCTCACTCACCGGTCGAACACCTTGAAGACGATGGCTATTTGGTCGTCTACCCGAAGCACCCCGATCTTGCAGAGGCAGCAGAGGAAAGCAGCAAAGGCTGCTTCATGTCCTAGGGAAGAAGAAAACAGCCGAGGTCGACGGTCTTCCAGAAAAAGGAGTGGGACTGTTCTTGGTCTCACCAGAGTCCAAATCACTGAGAACTGCCCCTCTACGGAGGGAGGTCAACATGGAGATAATGGGGCCTCCGCCCCTTCCAGAAAGACCCAAGCCCTTTTGAGAACTACCACTACTATAATTCTAAAAGGCCTAGAAGGCCAAGGCTGTGGACCTCTTAAACAGACATTTGCATTTTGTTTTGTAGGTTTAACTCACTCGTCAATTCCACGCTATCTATTGAGCACCTACTACAATGGCAGCCACTTTCCGTGTCAGGCACTAGGGAGACCACATCCATGCCTTTGCGTGATAGTTTATGATCTACCAGGATGACAAACATTAAACAGACAATCACTTCTATAATTTTAGCTCCGAAGGAGAAGGACAGGGTGATAACTGGAGGATATCACAGGGTGTTCAAGAAGGTTTCCCTAAGGAAGTAATATTTAATCTGAAAGATGAATAAGAGTTGGTAAAGCACTGGATGTGAGGGAAGCAAGAAGAGCAATCTAGCCAGAAGAAACATCATGTGCAAAGGTGCTGAGGTGAGAAAAACTGGGATATGTTTGAAGAACACTAGGAACGCCAGTACGGCTAAAGTAGAAAGGGCAAGGGAGAAAGCGTAACAAGATGAGGCCGGCAATCAGACAGGCCTTACCTGCTACGTAAGAAGCTCAGACTCAGTACCCTAAGAGCAACGGGAGCCACTGAAGGCTTCCAAGCAGGGAACAACACATGGTCACATTACAGGGTCAAAAGGCAGCCCCTTCCATAGGGTCCCTGGCTGGCTCAGTCAGTGGAGCATGTGACGCCTGATCTCGGGGTTGTGAGTTTGAGCCCCACGGTGGGTGCCGAGATTGCTTAAAAATAAAATCTAAAAAAAAAAAAACATGACCATTCCCAGTCATGTCAAATAGAAATGGTCAGCACTACAGACACCACCGATCAGACCCCAGACTGAATACCATGGTTCACAGTATTATAAAAAAATGTATTTGGACGGAGGCAGGAAAGAATACTTCAGCGACTTCCTGCCCATCTCTGTAGAATGAAGGTGTCTCCAGGGCCTGGGACGCTTGTGAGCTATTCCTCTCACCTGCAGTTTCTGATCTCCACCAGCCACGGTCCCAGCCACCATCACTCAGGGGCTCTGGCACACTTGACAGCAGAAGAAAAACCCACCCCTGGCTGACCTGGCCAGTCTCCCCTTCAGGGTCCCTCCCGGTCAGTCTCAGTCAAAACTCCACCCCGGGAAGTCTCCAAACACTTGATAAACCTGCTCCCCAGCAACAGGGGGAGCAGAAGACAACGCCTCCCCAGGACCCAGGTTCAAGGGGGCCCTTCTCCAGGCCTGCCAACGCGGCCTGTGCTTGTCTCGAGGAACCTGAGCCCCAGGTGAGGGGAAGGCCTAAGAGAGCAGCCTTGCACTTGCCGCTTCAGGGCACGTCAGAAAGGTGAGCCTACTACAGCAGGGTCCTCCCTTGCCGCCCACCCCCCACCCCACCCCCTGCCCCCGCCCCACCCACCGGCCAAGGAGACAACGCTTCCCCTCTGAGGTGCCTGCATGCGCCCTCTCGGAGAGAACTCAGCAGCCCACGGACACCGGGCTAGGAAGAGGGCATGCCACGATGCTGCCGGGCGCTACCGAGCTCTTTCACTTCTCAAGGCTCTGGTGCAGGGCCGCCTTGAGATACAGTAAGTGCTCAATAAATTATGCGCTGCAGGCGCTGAGCTCACAGACCCCGTCTTTACAAAGAACAGAAATCGGTGCTGCGCGGGGACACCACGCACGTGGCATCGGCTCCCCCTGGTGGACCAAGGCAGGGCCGCGGGAGGCG